CACTAAAACAATACAATAATACAATAGAAAGTAGAACAATAAAATGTGACAATAAAAAGAAAAATGGCAGCTGCCTAATATTGATAATAACAATAGTAAATGGGTAGATACAATAAATAATTAAAAATAGTAAATAATAAAAATAAATAAAAATATAATGTGTCTAAAAACATAAATAGATGTACTAAAAAGCAATAATAGATAATAAATACTAATCAAAAGTGATCCTGACCCTGACCCTGATCCTGATCCTGAGCTACGGCTTCACCCTAAAAGTTTTTAATAAAATATTTCAGTTTGAACAAGAAAAATAATGAAACCAATTTTGTCTGCTGCAGCTGCGGCAGAAAGAGACCATTGCAAAGTACACACACACACACACACACACACACACACACACACACACACACACACACACACACACACACACACACACACACACACACACACACACACACACACACACACACACACACACACACACACACACACACACACACACACACACACACACAGACACACACACACACACACACACACACACACGGCGGCACGGTGGCTGAGTGGATAGCACTCTCGCCTCTCAGCAAGAAGGTCCTGGGTTCGAATCCCAGTCGGACCAGGGCCTTTCTGAGTGGAGTTTGCATGTTCTCCCTATGTCTGCGTAGGTTTCCTCCGGGTACTCCGGTTTCCCCTACCACTAAAAATATGTCCAATAGGTCTGGCATGTGCCTCCTGTACTGGCCCCGCTCCCATCTCTGTGTGGAGTGAGAGACAAATGCCCAAAAATAACAATTGTAAACCGCTTTGAGACTCAAATCTGCAGTGAAAAGGCGGTATATAAATAAAGATTACTTACTTACTTACTCACGTACACACATATATACACAGACACACACATATACACACACGCACGCACACCCACATATACACACACACTCACGTACACACACACACTCACGTACACACACACACACACACACACACACACACACACACACCCTCTCTGACCCGATGTGGGGACCTCAGGTCTTCACTCCGAGGTGTAAATGCTCTCATAATGAGACGTCCTGTTTATATTTACTCTGATGTTGGACAGATGGAGACAGGTTCCTCCGACAGATCCAGGCCCAGACCCAGACCCAGATCCAGATCCAGGCCCAGACTCAGACCCTTCCAAACCCTGACGTAGTCTAAGGGTGCTTTCACACCTGCTCAAAGGAACCGTACTTGCAGGTGATCCAGACTCCAGTCCGCTTTAAGTGGACTAAATGGTGCAGGTGTGAAAGCACCCTCAGTCCAGGACGTGATCTCGGTCTGGATTCTATTCTGAGATTATTGATGTAAATTATCAACAAAAACAACGAATAAAGAAAATGTCTTGGGTTTTGACATTTGGACAAAAGTGTTTCCTAACTTTATCTTTTTATTTAGACTTAATTAGATTTTCTATAAACAGTAATATTTATGTTTCAAATGATAATAAAAGTCTGACTTTGAGTTAATAATGTTTTAGTTTCTCTCACAGGAGAGACTTTAAACACATTAAGGTTCAGACTAAAGCTCGTGTTCATAAACTTTGCTAAATTCATAAAAAACTCTTTATTTAAAGGTTATTTCATCATGTTTCACACTGATGATGACCTTTGATAAATCTCACTTTAATACGACTCTTTTGGAACAAACACAAACATTAGACACAAAAGTATTTACAGAACGATCCCTGAGATTTTAACTAATTACTGTCATTAATGGATTTAGTTTGACTTCACGCTGCCTCCAACCAGGACGTTATTCATCCTCGATAGACCTCATTATTTTAAGAGTGAGAACACGACCGGTGGCTGACTAAATACTTACCCCACTGTACTTTCATACAGTGGGGCATGAGGCTAAAGTGGGTTAAATATGAGGCTAAAGTGGGTTAAACATGAGGCTAAAGTGGGTTAAACATGAGGCTAAAGTGGGTTAAACATGAGGCTAAAGTGGGTTAAATATGAGGCTAAAGTGGGTTAAACATGAGGCTAAAGTGGGTTAAATATGAGGCTAAAGTGGGTTAAACATGAGGCTAAAGTGGGTTAAACATGAGGCTAAAGTGGGTTAAACATGAGGCTAAAGGGGCTAAAGTGGGTTAAGACATGAGGCTAAAGTGGCGGGTTTTCGGTAGAAACATTGAGGCTAAAGTGGGTTAAATATGAGGCCTAAAGTGGTTGTTAAAAGCATGATGGCTAAAGTGGGTTAAAATATAGAGGCTAAAAGTGGGTTAAATATGAGGCTAAAGTGGGGTTAAATATGAGGTGTGTTAAAAGTGGTGTTAAACATGAGGCTAAGAAGGCTGGAGCTTAAACATGAGGGCCTTAGAAAGTGGCGTTAATCAACATAGAGGCTAAAGTGGGTTAAAACATGAGGCTAAAGTGTGTTAAGTTGAGGGCTAAAGTTGGGTTAAACATGAGGGCTAAAGTGGGTTAATATTACATGAGGCTAAAGTGGGTTAAATATGAGGCTAAAGTGGGTTAAACATGAGGCTAAAGTGGGTTAAATATGAGGCTAAAGTGGGTTAAACATGAGGCTAAAGTGGGTTAAATATGAGGCTAAAGTGGGTTAAACATGAGGCTAAAGTGGGTTAAATATGAGGCTAAAGTGGGTTAAATATGAGGCTAAAGTGGGTTAAACATGAGGCTAAAGTGGGTTAAATATGAGGCTAAAGTGGGTTAAATATGAGGCTAAAGTGGGTTAAATATGAGGCTAAAGTGGGTTAAAACATTGACGGCTTAAAGAAGAGTGGGTTAAACTATGTAGGCTTCTAATTGTTGGAAAGTTAAATCTAGAGGCTAATAGAGGTCGGGTTGTTAAACGATGCGGCTAGAATGGTGGGTTTAAAACATGAGGACTAAAGCTGGTGGTCTAGAAACATGAGGCTCTAAAGTGGTGTTAGCATATATGAGCCTATAAGTGGGAGTTGAGAAGCTCATGGGGGCATAAAGTGGCATAGTTAGATAATATGAGGCCTATAAGTGGAGTTAAACTAGGAGGCGAAAGTGGGTTAAAAACATGAGGCAAAGTTTAACCCGCTAGAAAAGTGGGTTAAGAACATGAGGCCTACTAAAGGTGGGTTTAACCATGCGCGCAAAAGTGGAGGTTACAGATATTCTAGGTAGGCGAAAGCGTATGGGTTAGAAATGATGAGGCTAAGCAGTGGGTTTAACACATGGAGGCTAAAGTGGAGTTAAACATGAGGCTAAAGTGGGTTTTTAAATATTGAGTGCTGCAAGTGGAGTTAAAACATGGGGGCTTAAAAGTGGGGTTGTAAAATATGAGGCCGTAAAGTGGTGTTATCAATATCGAGGCTAAAGTGGGTTTAATACCTGAGGCTAAAGTGGGAGTTAAATATGGAGGCTCAAGTGGGTGTTAAAAGATGAAGGCTAAAGTGGCGGTTAAATATGAGGCAAGTGGGGATAAACAGTGAGGCTAGTAACGTGGAGCGAATTAGAAACTGAGGCCTTAAGTGGTCGCTTCAACATGAGGCAAAGAGGCAGTTAAATATCGAGGTAAAAGTGGGTTTACACATGAGGCTAAAGTGCGGTAAGTAAACATGAGGCTAAAATTGTGGGGCGTTGTAAATATGAGGCCTAACGTGGCGTATAACATGGGGGGCTAAAGTGGGTTAATATGAGGCTAAAGTGGGTTAAACCTATCGAGGCTAAAGGGGTTACAATATGAAGGCTAAAGTGGGGGGTTTACCATATGAGGCTTAAAGTGGGTTTATAACCATGAGGCTCACGTGGGTTAAATCATGATGCTAAAGTGGGTATATAACATGCGGCTAAAGTGGAGTTAACATATGAGGCTAAAGTGGCCGTTAAAATGAGAGGGCTAAAAGTGGATGTTAAATATGCGGCTACAGTGTGTGTAAAACTAGGAGGCTAGAAGTCGGGTTAAATAAGAGGCGTCAGAGTGGCGGTTAAACATGAGGCTAAAGAGGTTGTTAATGATGCGGCTAAAGTGGGTAAATATGAGGCTAAGTGGGCTGATCAAACATGCGGCTAAATTGGGATCAAATATGAGGCTAACGTGGGTTAAATCTGAGGCTAAAGTTGGCCGTTTAAAATATGAGGCTACCGTTGGCTGTTAAACATGAGCGCTAAGTGGGTTAAACTAGAGGCTAAAAGTGGGTATAGAAACATGCGGCTAACGTGGGTGTTGTAAACGGTAAGAGCTCTAAAGTGGTTAAACCTGGTGGCTAAATAGAGGTGGAATAAATATGACGGCGTAATGTGGATGGTTAGTTAAATCCTGAGGCTAAGTGGTGTTTAACATTTGAGCGCTTAAAGTTGGGGTTGAATTATGAGGCTAAAGTTGGTGTAAACATGAGGCTAGAAGTCGGGGCGATTGTGTTTAAATGTATGAGGCTAAAGTGGTGTTATTAAATATGAGGCTAACGTGGCGTTTAAACGAGCGGCTACAACGAAGTGGGTTACACAACGATGGCTAAAGTGAGGGTTAATAATATGAGGCTAAAAGTGGGTTAAACATAGGGGCCTAAAGTGGGTTTAAAAATGACGGCTATGCTAAAGTGGGTCTGTGTACAATATGAGTCTAAAGGTGGGTTAAACATGCGGCTAACGTGGGATTTCGAAGAATATGGGCTACAGTGTAACGTAGATTAGAAACATGGCAGGCCTAAAGTGGTGGCCGTTAAATATGATGCTAAAGTGGGTTAAACATGAGAGGCTAAGTGGCGTTAAACATGAGGCTAAGTGGTGTTAAACGTTGAGGCTACAAGTGGTTGGTTAAATAATTAGTAGGCTCAAAGTCGGACTATGCGTGTAACTCATGAGGCTAAGTGGTCGTCTAGGTTAATCATCGCGGTCTAAACGTGGGGGTTAAAAATATGAGGGCTACAAGGTGCGCCGGTTAAACATGGGGGCTAAAAGTGGCGTTAACATATGAGGCAAAAGTGGTAACGCGTATACAACCATGCGGCTAAGAGGGGATAACCTATGAGGCTACACGTGGGTTTTAAGATGCGGCAACCAGTGGGGTTAAACATACCGAGGCTAAAGTGGGAATTTACACATGCCGGCCTAAAGTTTGGTGCTCTTACACAACCCCCATTCTTACAGTAGCGGTTCACCCAGTAGCGTGCTCTAAATTTGTGTTACCACCAGACTAGGCTAAAGTTGGCGCGCTACTACACACATGAGGCTCACGTGTGCGTTACATCAGATGCTACAAGATTCGAGTTAAACCAGCCAGGCACCATATGTTTAACCCTCATCTTCACCCGGCATTGTAAATTACCAACCGCATATTCACCCTATTTTACAACTTCTTCACCCTATTTGTCATTAACAACAGTTTCACAATTATTAACCCCCGATTCGTCCAACCTTGTGGATTACCACCATTCTTCTCACCTTTTATTATCCTATCAGGCGGTCTCCCTTGTTGTTTCCCCCATTTTTGCACCCTAAGAGGCTTAACCACATATTCACCATATTTAATCCCATAATTCTTCACCCTATTTTTACCCACATCTTTTTCACATATATTATATACAATAAGTACTTCAACCATTCTATACCCCATCTTCACCCATATTCTTACCCTACTAATCTCTCATCCACTAGATTTATATCCTCACCCATCTTCGACCCTCGATTATAACCCCCACCTTCCACCCTATTCTTAAACTACCTTATTCAACCCTATTGTTAACTCATTCCTTCGCTCACCTATTTAACCCCATCTTAACCATATTATATCCCACATCTTACCACTATTTTATTTAACCCCATCGTCACCCTATTTAACCCAAAATCTTCACCCTATTTAACACCCCATATTCATCCCTTTTTAACCCCACATCTTCAACTACCCTATTTTTACCCCCAATCTGTTCATACCTATTTAACCAACATCTTCACCTCTATTCTCTTATACCCCCATCTTTCACCATTATTTCACCCCCATCTCTCACCCTATTTAACCACATCATTCACCCTTTTAACACCGCCTTCAACCTTTCACCCTATTTAAACCCCAAATTCCTTCACACCCATCTTAACCCTCATCTTCACCCTATTATTTAATTAACCCACAATCTTCCACCCTATTCTAACCCCCATATTACACACCTATTTAATCCCCATATCCACCCTACTTGTAACACTACATTCTTCACACCTATTTTACCACAATCTTCATCTCCCTTATTTCGGTATACCACAATCTGTCACCCTATTATTACCCCATTCTTCACCATATTTAACCTACCCCTATCTTCACCATATATTTACCCACTTCTTCACCCTATTTTTTAACCCCTCATCTTCACCCTATTCTAACCTCATCTTCAACACTATTTATCCCCACATCTTCATACCTATTTACCCCCATCTTCACCCTTTTTAACCCACATCTTCACCCTATTTTTTAACCCCCAATCTTCACACCTCGCTATTTAAACCACATCTTCACTGACACATATTATACCCACATCTTTTTTTCACCATTTTGTAATCCCATCTTACACCTATTTATCCCCCATCTGTCACCCTGATTTAACAATCATCTGTCACCATATTTTTTACACTCTACTCCATTTTCACCCTATTATAACCCTCATCTTCACCCTATCTATTACCCAAATCTTTCACCCTATTTTAACTCCCCCATCTTCTCCATTTTTGAACCCTATTCTTGCACACACTATTATTACCCCACCATCTTCATCCTAGGTTAAACCACATCTTCACCCTATTTCTTTAAATAACCCCATCGTTCACCAGCTTATTTAACCCCCATCTTCACCCTATTTAACACCATCTTCACCCTTTTCTAACCAACCATATTCACCCTAATGCTAACCCCCATCTTCACCCTAGTTTAACCCCCCAATTCGTTCCACCCTATTTCAAACCCACATCTTACTACCCTATTTAACCCCCATTTTCACCTATTTAAGAACCCACATCTTCACCCTATTTTAACCCACCATATCTTCTACACTTTCTATAACCCACATTCTTCCACCCTATTTAACATCCACATCTTCAACCCTTTTTAAACCGCACCCATCATTCATACCAGATTTTAACCCCCATCTTCTACACTATTTAAACCCCCATCTTCATCCCTTATTCCTTAACCCCCATCTTCACCCTATTTATATAAACCCCCATTCTTCACCCTTTTTACCCCCCAATCTTGTCTACCCTTTGTTTAACCCACAATCTTCACCCTCTTTCACTCAACGCCCCCATCTTTCACCCTATTTAAACCCAACATCTTCTCCTTATTTAACCCCCATCTTCACCCTATTTAACCCAAGTTCACCCATATTTAACCCCCATTTCTCACTATGTTTTATGACCCATCTTCAAGAACTATTATACCCCCATCTTCACCTATTTAACAACATCTTCGCTCCCGTATTATTCTAACCCCCATTTTCACCGATTCTAATCCAAATCTTCACACCTATTTTTAAAAACATCATCTTCATCCACTTTTTATTACCAACATCTTCTGTAACATATTTTTAACTCACATCTTCTCATATTTAACCCCCTTTCGTTCACCCGATTTTAATAACCCCATCTTCTCACTATTCTAAACCCCCATCTTCACCTTTTTTTTAACCCCCACACTTCATGACATTTTTAAACCCCCATGCTTCCAAACCATT